GAGCAGCAGGAACTCCGAGAGGCTGCAGGCACATCAGTCAGTTTGCAGCCGCTGCGCAGGGGGAGGGGGGAGAGGGCTGAAGCAGAAACTACCGTTGTTAAAAGAAATGTGTTTAACTTTGAAAATGTGGGCGCAATTTTAATTGTCAAAAACTCCAGCGAACCATTAGTTCATTTTGCTCAAATAGAAATAGAGGCCTGCCTCTAATACTGGCCCTCCTTCCAATAAAGGCCTGGAGCTTGATGAGCTTGAGTCATATACAGGCCCGGGCCTGTATTAGAGGATTTACGGTAATTACTTTTCCAACTGTTGCAACGCCGTTACCGTTACTGGGGACGGAAGGTTGTGCGTTACTATGTGCTTGTCGAACGTTGAGCAACAGTGTGAGGCTTTCTGACCACCACACTTCAGCTGCAGCCAGGGAGAGAGAGGTGTCGGTAACACACTTACAAACACGATGATGATTGGCCGGGTGGGCGGAGACCCTCAGTGTTCTCACTGTCACCGCCTGCTGTAGACCCAACAGAGCAGTGATGGGAATAACGCCGTTTAAAATAACCACGTTAATAAAAAAATATTTCTTTCAGTAACGAGCAAACTAATTAATTACCGTCTTCTTTTAACAAAACAATAGTTTCTGTTACTGATAAGGAAATGCGTGCGTTAAGCAGCGCGGTGTGTTGAAGCTGTCATCAGCTGATCAGGAGCTAAAGAGGTAGATGTTTTCATCCAAGAGCATCACGACCCGTGAAGAACGAGGAAGACGTGATGAATATCTACGGCTGCAGACCCCCCGCAGATTTGTTGCTGCAGGTGGGAATCTGCGGGTCTGCAACCGTGCCCTAGAGTGACAACGGGAAGTCCCGAAGGTCCGCTCACCTGTTCACCGCTCAGACGTCCTGATCTTCTACCTTCCTAGATCATCCAGCTGTAACCTGTTCCTGATCATGTCTTTAGTCCCGCTGTAACACTGATGCATCAGTCTCAGACGTCATGGAGCTCAGGTGTTATCAGAACTACCTGTGTGTGTTTACCACCCAGCTTCAGCTCTTCTGTGGTTGGGTCTGACCCAAGTTAGTAAATGTAAGTCCTCCATCAGGCTTGTGCCTGTTCTAGTGTCACTTTAAAGGATTTTATTTATTTATGTAACCGTTACTAGATTACCAGCAACAGAAATGCTACTAATAACAGACAATTATGTGAATCTGGAAAAATTAGAATACTGTGCTAAATTACATTTATTTCTGTAATTTAACTAGACTGAGAGACCATTTAAAGGCTCGGGAATCTTTACAGGTGTTTCGATTTGCAATTTTAAATTTTAGCTGATTGGGGTCTTGTTAAATATCACACAGTAACCTTTTAATAGTCTAGATAAGTGTAATGTTCCTGTTAGTAGTTCCTCCTGTTACGTGCTTATTTATTTAAATTATTCAGGTTTATAAAAACATTTGGACATACATTTTATTATGTTCCAGTCATTAGTCATTTATATTTCACTATTGTAGCAATTCTTGCACGCTTTAATCAGGGTATCTGCAGGTTTAGGGGAGCCAAATTTAAGACTTTTTAAGACCTTTTTTAAGGCCACTTTGACCAAATTCAAGCTATTTTAATTAAGCTATTTGCCACCATTGCAAAGAGAGCCGAGGATAACTAGCGGCAGACACGGAGAAGCTTGAAGAATACCTCGTGAAAAAACTCTAAAAATATGAACGTTTCATCCTCCCGTGACTGGAGGAGTGAAAAGATGCACAGCAAGCATTTTATTTGTGGACGGAAATGACAGGAAACGTGGGTTTAGAGGTGGGGAGCGCATGAAGAGGTGGGAGAATGAGAGACAAACATGTCCATGTTAAAAGTCTCTTATATACACAAAAACATAATATAAACACACGATCTTGGACCGATACATGACAGGATACCACAGAACAGCGCTACGCCCTCTGTTGTCCTGCCGGGGAATTGCTTTGCAACACTCTCCAGGAGACGGAGAAGTAAAAGAGCAAAACGCTTCCGTCAATCCATGCGTGTCTGTCCCTTGCGGAGCTGACGGAGAAGCATAAACCAGGCTTTACTAGAAATTCACAAAATTTTTATAGAAATAAAAGAATCTTGTTTATTGGGTCTTTTGTCATTTAAGACATTTGGAAACTGTTTTTAAGGATTATTTGTCATTTTTAAGGATTTTTAAGGCCTTAAATTTGGAAAAGCAAATTTAAGACTTTAAGGACCCGCGGATACCCTGTTTAATGAAAAAAAAAGTAACTAAGTAGTTATTTTTCTTGGTAATTAGTTACTTTTATAATCTTGTAACTCATTCCATGCTATTGTTCTTTTTAAAACACAGAAACTGTTTCGTTACCTGTTTTTCACTACGTTTCGCCTGCGGCTGCAGACTTCCTCAGGCTGACGCTGATGGTAGTGCGTCACTTCCTTCTCCGTTTATCTGCAGGCTGCAGAGGACGTTGTCGCCCTCTGCCGCCCGCTCTCCCCTCTCCAATGATGCAGTCCCATGCACGGTCCAACGTGTAAACTCCATCGTCCCTGTTCATGGTCCCACATCCACGTCTCCTGATCTCGATTGCTTCTTTAATCCATCTTTTGTATTTTTGTTGTTCGGTGTTTATGATCCGTGTGTTGTCCCAGTCCATTATATGATTTTCTCTTATGCAGTGATCTGTTACGGCTGACTTCTTTATTGTACTTTCTGCTTCTTGTTTTGCTGCTCTGGTGTGTTTTCGATTTGCCTCTTTCTCACACTCCTTTCTATGTTCTATTGTTCGTGTGTTGAGTTGGCGTCCGGTTTCTCCTATGTATGTTTTATTGCAGAGTTTGCATGGGATTTCGTAAATGACTCCACATTTAAGTCCAGCTGATATTTTGTCTTTTGGGTGTACTAGTCTGTCCGGCAGCTCCACAAGGACGTTGCGTGTCTCTGCACTGACGCAGAAGGAGAAGCATGAATCAGGCTTCAGGGTGCACAAGTCCCAGGAGTGCTGCGTGGTTGGGTGGTAACAATCTTTCTAATCCTGAATAGAAAATCTCTTTATTGTCCCCAGTTGGGAAAGCTTGGTGTCACGGGGTCTCTAATGACCTCCTGACCAACAGTGATGCAGAAGAATGTTCTGTTGTGGTCCTGCTGGACCTGACTGCAGCCTTTGACACTGTTGACCATCACCTGCTACTGGAGAGGCTGAGAGACTGGGTAGGCCTATCAGGAACTGCTCTGGAGTGGTTCTCTTATCTGTCTGAGCGTTCCTTTTCTGTAGCCGTCTCCAAGTTTAGGTCCTCCACCACCTCTCTTACCCATGGTGTCCCATAAGGTTCTGTGCTGGGGCCTCTGCTCTTCCTCCTCTATCTGCTTCCTCTTCAGCACATCCTGAGCTCCTTCAAAGGAATCTCCTACCATCTTTATACAGATGACATCCAACTGTACATCTCCTTTAAGCCCCATGAGATGTCTAAGCTGCAGCTGTTACACACCTGCTTAGACTCTATCAAAGCCTGGATGGCTGGGAGCTTTCTTCAGCTGAATGAAGATAAGACTGAGATCCTCGTCTGTGCCCCAGACAAGCTGGTTCCCAAAGTCAGAGACTCTCTTGGTCAGCTTGCTTCTCACACCAAACCTTCTGTCAGGAATCTTGGCGTGACCTTTGACCCAGCTCTCACCCTGGATTCTCATGTCAGTTCTCTTGTTTGCTCTTCCTTCTTCCATCTCAGGAACATTGCTAAGCTGAGTCCCACTCTGTCTCGCTCTGAACTTGAGACAGTTCTCCACACCTTCATCTTCTCACGCTTAGACTACTGTAACTCTCTTTTCACGTGTCTGAGCAGAACCTCCCTGAACCGTCTACAGGTGGTTCAGAACGCCTGTGCTCGGCTTCTGACCAAGTCCTCCAAACACACCCACATCACCCCGCTTCTCCTCCAGCTTCACTGGCTGCCAGTCAGCTTGAGGGTTCATTTCAAGATCCTGGTTCTGGTCTATAGGGCCTTACATGGACAAGCACCATCTTACATTGGTGATCTTCTTAGTCCCTACACCCCCAGCAGGTCCCTGAGGTCCAGTGACCAAAGCCTACTGGTTGTGCAGCACCAGGCTAAAGACCAAAGGTGACAGATCATTTTACTGCTGTGGCCCCCAGACTCTGGACCTCTCTCCCCCTGAGCCTGAGATCAGTGGACTCTGTGGTCTCCTTTAAAAAGCAGCTGAAAACTCACCTGTTCAAGCTGGCTTTTGGTGTGACCTTCATCACCCTCTCCTTGTTCTGTTCTCCCCACCTATTCCACCTTCCTCAGGATCCACAGATTTCCCTCTTTCTTATTCATCCTTTCTCTTTCTTTACATTTTTTTAATCACAATTGTCTATTTTTTGCTCATTTTAAATATATTTTTGATCATTTTCTAAATTTTTTATATTTTACATTTTTAGTTTTCATGAAGCGCCTCGTGATTTTTATCTTGAGAGGCGCTGTAGAAAAGATCTTTTCTTCTTAGCTGGTGCATTAAGATGTCACAATGCCTTTGTGAACCTGTGTGTGTGTGTGTGTGTGTGTGTCTGTTAGAGGCTCCGCCCCCTTGGTCTGCCAGGAAACAGCATTTGTTGCATTTTTCAAACAGGGCGTGGGAGGGGCATAAGACTCTGGTAGGGGGTGACTTGCTCTTTAAGAAGACAATGTTGATGTTAGCCCTGTGATCTTAAACATTAAATAAAATTACAATAAAAAAAAAAAAGAACAAAGCTGCAGCTGCTGCTACCGCTGTGGGCCAGTGGTGGTGCTATTGCAAAAGGGGAGATCATCACATGCCTCATCCAATCATATTCACCAAACACGGAGCAGGTGTGTTCTCCAGCATGTGTTACCATGGTGAATGGGAGGGGCTTCAGGTTAGCCTCGTCCATGGAACTGAGTTTGGGGAAATTCAAGCCCACTGGAGGATCCATATTAACCCTTGTTAATTCTGATTAAACCCAGTTGTCCAGCCCAAGTCTGACCTGATGGTTTTGCTCCTTGGCATCTCTTTGTAGAAGGTCCTTCTCTTCCTCCACCTTCAGCAGCTTCCCCATTACACTGCGAAGCTCTGCCTCCAGCTGTGATTGACAACTCAGCTAAGACAAACAACGAGTCAAACACCTGCAGACATCCTGCTTTAGATCACCTAAAGGATCTTCACCTTCTCCTTGCAGGAGATCAGCTCTTTCTCCAGCAGCTGCTGCTCCTTTAGCCTCGCCTCCTGCTGCTGTAGCCACACTGATTGCTGCTGCAGTTTCTCCTCCATCAACCGCTGCACCTGAAACTACACCCACAGCTGTCAGCTCAAGAAATTTCACCTCCTAAAACTCCTAAAAACCAACAGCTCTGCTCACAGTAGTTCCCTCCTCCGGCTGCTCCTTGGAAACCGTAGCCAGGTGCTTCTGCAGCATCTGGACCGATTCTTGCTCTTCGCAGAGACGTGCGCTCAGATCACCGTTATCACTGCTGAGCTGCAGGTTCCTGCTGCTGAGATCCAGAACCTCCTCACGATATTTAAAGTTCTACAGGAAGAAATGGAACCAGGACAAACAGGCTGAGGAGGGGGTTCAGGAGCCTGGAGGTGGTTTCTGGACCACCACCAGAACTTTTACACCAGGGGTCACCAACCTTTGTGAAGCTGAGAGCTACTTCACCATCATTGCGCCGTATGAAGGGCTACCAGGTTCATGTGCACAGTACTGACCATTGACCTGGAATAGGTTTGAGCTTAACCAAACTTCATGTAAGATGAACATATCTACATCAGAAAATCTCCTTTCTCTGAGGGCGTGTCTCTCTGAGTCTCCACAGCCAATCATCTGTCTCCATGTAGTCCTGTCTTCTACATCCTCTACCCTCACACCAACTGACCTCATGTCCTCCTTCACCACATCTTCTCAGCCTCCTGGCTGGTGGCTCCAACTTCAGCATCCCTCTTGTCTTCTGACCAAGTCCTCCAAACACACCCACATCACCCCGCTTCTCCTCCAGCTTCACTGGCTGCCAGTCAACTTCAGGGTTCATTTCAAGATCCTGGTTCTGGTCTATAGGGCCTTACATGGACAAGCACCATCTTACATTGGTGATCTTCTCAGTCCCTACACCCCCAGCAGGTCCCTGAGGTTCAGTGACGAAAGCCTACTGGTCGTGCAGCACCAGGCTAAAGGTCAAAGGTGACAGATCATCTGCTGCTGTGGCCCCATACTCTGGAACTCTCTCCCCCTGAGCCTGAGACCAGTGGACTCAGTGGTTTCCTTTAAACTCACCTGTTCAGGCTTTGGTGAGACCTTCATCACCACCCTCTCTTGGTTCTGCTCTGATTCCACCTTCCAGGATCCACAGATTTCCCTGTCTCCGGTTCATTTTCCTTCCCTTTCTTTAACTTATGTTTTTATCAAATTTTTCTCACTTTAAACATATTTTAGAAATCTTTATACTTTAATTTTTTGGGTGATTTTTATCTGGAGAGGTGCTTATTAAACGATTGTTTTCTTTCTGTCCCCCCCCCCCCCCCCCCCCCCCCCCCCCCCCGCTGTCTTATAGCTCTTTTACATTTCTGCACCACTAACATACTTCTCTGGCACTTCAGACTACCTGATTCCCTACAGCTCCTCTCAGAGCACCTTCATACACTTTCTTTGAATCTACACAGACACATCCTTCTGACCTTCTCTGTTCTCCTCCGTCAGCATCCTTAGAGCCAAGGCAGTATCTGTAGTACACTTTTTTGGCATCATAAAGTGTGATTTAAAACATAGCAGTAGAAAATTTTTGCACTATCCTTGTAACAGGCCTGAAGGTACCCTATAGGGCAGGACTACTCACTCCTGGTCCCTGAGGGCCGGTATCCAGCACATTTTGGTTTTAGCCCTGCTTTAACACACCTGGGGGCTCATTTATCAAATGCTCATAGAAACTGTCCTATATTCCCTCCTACGACCAACATGTACAATATTCGTATGAACAGTCAAAAGACTAGTTTATTAAACATGCGTTTCGTCTGAAGAAAAATCCCACCTGTGCGTACCCAGGTGCTCGTACCCAGGTGCTCGTATCCATTCGCCGTCATTTACATACAGCAACATCCTAAATTAACAATATTTGCTCACTCTACGTCCTCAGCATGTGAGGGGATTCCTTGTTACCCCCCCCCAAAAGAAAAGTTTATTGACAATGAGATCGAGACACTGGCTGCCGAAGAACAAAAGGACCAATCATGTTACAGAGGTTGTTACGGCCAATGGCCTTGAGTATTTTATCTTGGTTGGGTTTATGTTCCTTCTTTTTCAGGTTGTGTTACAGTTACAGCATTTCTCCAGCTGGCTCCGCCAAATCGACCATTCCTTGGGCTCCTCTACAATAACACTCCAGCCAATCATCATTGAACCGAGGGATAATGACCCATCCAATCAGAAGAGATCCAGCTTTTCTAAGAACCCAGCTCATCAATGGACATTGGCAGCTATGTGGTTGTGTGTAAACAGCCTGCCCTTGGGTTTGTTATCAGTAGTGAAGGCTTCTCTAGAAGGAACCAAGCTTTAATCAAGTGTTTAGTGTTTATTCCCTTGTGTTCAGTTTTGGCATTGTAGTTAAATACAATCCGTTGCCTCTAGCTCCCGCTGAGGCATTGAAGTGTGGATATTTATTTTTCTCTTCTTGTTTATGGTGTTTGCTTCTGGGTTTGTTAGTAGGGAGTCCCAAACTGGGTTGCTCGGTCTTAATTTACACTCATGTTCATTTAAGCCCATTTTCTGTTAGTGTTAGACTGTTGTTTTGGTATATGGACCGTGGATTCTGTGAAACTTAGAAGAAAACGCGCTGCACTGAATAAATCTATTACCTTTACCTTTTACATCTGGTTATTTTATTAAATGTTACTTCTCTTTTCCCTGGCTGAGCCGGGTTGTAACAGAGGTCATAAAGGTGGTTGGGACAGAGGAGAGGTTCCTGTCAGATAAAAATAAAAATTATGACAAATCATAGAGGAACAGGTTCTAGTTTACATTTCAGGAGTTGTTCTGTTGGAAATATTGTCTAAGAGCAGCCTCAGCCTCTTCTGAGCCGTCATCCTCTCTGGTTGCGTGTATGACCAGGGAGCAGAGGAGGTTCTGGGTGGTTCTCTAGTTGTAAAATAAAATTTGAACTGGGATCAGATTTGTGAGGTTTGTCTGTTGCTCCACAAAGGGTCCCAATCCCAGCAGAAGGATTTCCTGTTAGATCAGAGCATTCAGGGAGAACACGTTCCCTCCAGCGAGCACGCTCTTCTAAATCCTCCAATAACACAGATCAGTCATGATATAATGTCAGATTCCCATCGGTCACACGTGTCTTTTATTGGTTTTAGCACCAATTACTCCACCGACATAATTACATACTGGATAAATAACATTAGTGGATGAGAAACACATCTGGATGACTGAGACATTTTGGTGTTACGCTTCCCCATTCTGCCACTAGATGCTGTGCGTACGCATGGTCAGAGATGCTCAGGAACATTTCTACTCACAAGTACAAAATGATAAATACCAAACTATGCGTAGAATTGTTCCTACGCACGAAATACTCACAGATCTGTGAGTAAGTACATTTGATAAACGAGGCCCCTGATCTCAGTCAGCAGGTGATTAACAGGCGTCTGCAGAGCCTGATGAGCTGCTGCAGGTGATTCATCCACTGAATCTGGTGTGTTGGAGCAGAGAAACCACTAAAACATACCCGCCCTCCAGGACCAGAACTGAAGCTACAGGTAGATGACCCGTCCTATAGGGTTTCTCCATCTTGAGTCAGTCTAGGATCAGAACTCTTTAGTGTCTCACCTCCTTTTGAAGCCTCTCCTCCTCCTTCCTGCTCCTCTCATGCTCTCTCTCCATCTCCTCCAGTCTCCTTCTGTCAGGAGGCAAACATCTGGTCTCAACTCCTCCATCATACATGTTTACAGATGAAAGTTAAATTTGTTGTTTTATAAAGCTGTGGTTTCTATGGCGTTTAAAGCGTGCCACAACCCGTGCACGCGCATTGGGTCCACAGCGCGCGTGTGAACGGGACTCGCGAGCGCAAATATACATGGCAGCGCGCGTGTGAACAGGACTCGCGAGCGGAAATATACATGGCGAGAGGTCATTTGTGCACTGAGAGGGAGCAAACTGTGTCTGTGAGCGCACAAGGATGTGCACAAGTGACAAACCTGCGTGCGCGCGTTGTCAACGAGCACACGGCAGAGGAAAACGTGCGCGCGGCAGCCTCTGTGCGCGCTCGGCAGCCTCTCTGCGCGCTCGGTTTCTGACTCCTGCTCGCTCGGCTGTAAGGGCTTTTGGCACTCTGGAGGCGTGGCCTGTGGCAGATCTTCTCTGTCCTCTGATTGGTTAGTTTACCCCGCACTTTACCCTCTATCTATATAAAAAAGTCTGATATTCAGTAGTTGCTGCATAGCTCAGCTGGGAGAGCTGGTGACTCTCGCCCCGGAGGATCCAGGTTCGAGTCCGGCCAAGGACAATGCAGTAGATGTCTTGTTAATTTTTCTTAATTTCAGGTATTTTACAGTTGTGACCGTTCAACTGTCATTGAACGTCCGAATGTTTGCTGGGCAGTGTTGTGCACATAAGCTAGATGGTTTTAACCATATAAAATTACATTTTTTGTGATACTGGAAAAATACATACTGAAATAAAACTACTGGTTGAAAACTTTATGAC